CATTTTATCAAAATCACATTAAATTTTATTAAAAATATTCAATTTGATCTAATTAACTATCAATTTTATTAAATTAATTAAATTTTATCAAATTAATACAAGATTTTACAAAATTAACATGAAATTGATTTTAAATTTTATAAAATTATTATTGTATTCCAACAAACTAATATTTAATCTCACCAAATTAATTATTCAATTTTATAAAATTAATATCAAATCAATATTCAATTTCATCAAATTAACCCCAAATTAACATTTAATTTATCAAATCAACATCATTTTTTGATTGAATTTTAAATTAACATTCAATTTCATCAAATCAATATCAAATGATCATTCAATTTTTTGAATTTAATATTTATTTTTATCAAATTAATATTATTTTTAAAAATTAATATTTTCTTTAATCTAGTTTTATAGGAAAGATTATGTTTAGTCCAATTAATATTTAATGTAATTAAATTAATACTAAAAATAATACTTTTTACTATTTTAAGCTTATTTTATATGACCAGGGATAAATTTAGCAACTCATAAGAGAATAAGTTATCATCACATCACATGTTTTTGCTTGTCAATAACGGCATTAGACTTCAAGAGTAATTTGTAAAAGGTGTATATAAATTATAGGAGTGTAAAATAATTTTTAAAAATAAAAAAGAATGTGAGTGAAATATGACTTAAATTTAAGAATTTTCATTGAAATTTACCCTATTATTAATCATATAAAGCCAATTTTATATCATTTTAGTGTTAGTTACAACCGACAACTTTACACGGATATCCCACCAAACAACTTCCCTATAAGTGGATCAAATAAATGTAAAAAATTGAGTTCTCAATTTATAAAAATATAATAATGATAAAAATTAATTTAATTTTTATTTATTTTTATTTAATAGTATAAAATTCATCTCAATTTTTTTAAATACATAATTAAAGAAAACCTCATTAATTCCAAATAACCCCATTAATTTATACATACATCTCTTTTCTCTATCCCCTACCTCTCTTTTATTTTTCTCTCTATCAACCTTAATTTTTAAATGCATAATTAAAGAAAAAAATAAAAATAAATTACTATTTAACATGTAAATATTACGCAATTAATATTCAATTTTTAATAATGTAGTTTAGAGAAATGTTGAAATCATGTATACATATATGATATAACCTTCCGAAAATCACATATACGTATAGGAATTTCTGTCTCTAAGACCATCTAGAGTCCTGACGTGGATCACAAGAGCTTCATAACACTTATATCTTTACTTTTATTTTTTTGTATCATATTGAAATTTATTACAAAATAAAGGAGATATTTTGTCATGATTATAATAAAGTAGGATTGTTTGGAATCGATCTTAACATTTTAGGATCGATCCTAAATCTTTTTTATTTTTGTTTTTGGGCCCTTAACTTGATCTCAAATGAATTGGAACTAACCTTATTAAATCAGCATGACAAAATGCTAGGAGGTGAGCTTAAGGGAGGGTGGAAATGATATTGTCACAGCAAAGAAGAATGCTGTGGCAGCAGAAAATGCCCCATCTCTATCGAGTATAGGGGTGTAATTTGGGCAGGCTAACCCGAATTCAACTCGAGTCAAACTCGAAAAAAACAAAAATTGGGTTAAAATTTTTAATACTTGGGTTGGGCTTGAACAAAAAAACTTCAATCTGAATTGAATTTGGGCAAAACTCGGGTTGATGCCTTGGGTTGTCTGGTTTAACCCAAATATTAAAATCAGGTTGAATCCGAATATACATAAATATATAAATATATTTAACTAGGATTAATATTTATCTTCACTCTTTAAAGTCAAGACTTTCATTTCACTTCAAAATTTCACTCCTGCGCCTCCATCACTTTCAGATTCCTCTCGCACTCTTCTCTCATCTCTCTCTCTCAGCCTCCCTTTCCTTCTTCTCTCACTTGTCACTCCTCCTTTCACTCCCTCTCTCTTCATCTGCACTTCGTCTTTCATCTTAGATCACTTGAAAAAATCAAATCTACATTTGAAAAATTACACCTACACTTAAAAAAATCAACTCGAATTAAGTAACCCAAGCTCATCCCGATCTTTAACCCGCAATCAGCCCGAATTAAGTAACTCGAATTCAACCCGAACTTTCCTGAATTAAACTCGGGCAATACTCGAGTTAAGTATCTCATGTTGAGGTAGGGTTAGGGTTATGATTAAGGTTGAAGATTATATATCTAGAGTTAGACTAGAGTTGACTGCCCAACTGTACGAGTTGCACCTCTAATCCAGTATTTGTGATTGAATTGGATCTCTGAACTTTGTATGCGGATAATATTTAAATCTTTGTCGTTAATATCTATTAGTATATCCATTAGTAAATTATACACAGACTATCTGAAGTTTATAGACATGTAACAGTTAGATCTCTAAAGTTTAAAATATTATATTTTAACCTCTTATTAGTTATAAAACTAACGAAATCTATTAAATGATCAAATTACCTTAATTAAAGATAAAAGATATTATGTTCATTACAATTTGACCACTTATTTGATTTTTTAATTTTATTTCAATAGACAGTATAATTATATGTAAATGAGTGTTGAATTGAGTTATTTAATATATTTATATTGATTATTATTTTTTTTTCAAAAAATTGGAGTTTTGTTTGGTTTTTATGTTAATGAATGATATAATGGAATATGCAAATATGTTGATTAGACTTATTTCATATCTTTGTACTAGATGATGACAAAAGTGATCTAAGGTGAAAAGTCCATTGTGTGACTTGTGTCTAAGTCCAACCCATCTTATCAAGAATTCTAATTTGAATATGATTCTACGTATTACGGATAAACTAAATTTAACCTTCAAATTTTAGGGTCTAAATATTGCACGCTTCAAATTTTAGGNAAGTCAAGACTTTCATTTCACTTCAAAATTTCACTCCTGCGCCTCCATCACTTTCAGATTCCTCTCGCACTCTTCTCTCATCTCTCTCTCTCAGCCTCCCTTTCCTTCTTCTCTCACTTGTCACTCCTCCTTTCACTCCCTCTCTCTTCATCTGCACTTCGTCTTTCATCTTAGATCACTTGAAAAAATCAAATCTACATTTGAAAAATTACACCTACACTTAAAAAAATCAACTCGAATTAAGTAACCCAAGCTCATCCCGATCTTTAACCCGCAATCAGCCCGAATTAAGTAACTCGAATTCAACCCGAACTTTCCTGAATTAAACTCGGGCAATACTCGAGTTAAGTATCTCATGTTGAGGTAGGGTTAGGGTTATGATTAAGGTTGAAGATTATATATCTAGAGTTAGACTAGAGTTGACTGCCCAACTGTACGAGTTGCACCTCTAATCCAGTATTTGTGATTGAATTGGATCTCTGAACTTTGTATGCGGATAATATTTAAATCTTTGTCGTTAATATCTATTAGTATATCCATTAGTAAATTATACACAGACTATCTGAAGTTTATAGACATGTAACAGTTAGATCTCTAAAGTTTAAAATATTATATTTTAACCTCTTATTAGTTATAAAACTAACGAAATCTATTAAATGATCAAATTACCTTAATTAAAGATAAAAGATATTATGTTCATTACAATTTGACCACTTATTTGATTTTTTAATTTTATTTCAATAGACAGTATAATTATATGTAAATGAGTGTTGAATTGAGTTATTTAATATATTTATATTGATTATTATTTTTTTTTCAAAAAATTGGAGTTTTGTTTGGTTTTTATGTTAATGAATGATATAATGGAATATGCAAATATGTTGATTAGACTTATTTCATATCTTTGTACTAGATGATGACAAAAGTGATCTAAGGTGAAAAGTCCATTGTGTGACTTGTGTCTAAGTCCAACCCATCTTATCAAGAATTCTAATTTGAATATGATTCTACGTATTACGGATAAACTAAATTTAACCTTCAAATTTTAGGGTCTAAATATTGCACGCTTCAAATTTTAGGGATTTGAATGTAATTTACTAATGGATATTAACTATAGAGGTCTATGTGTTACGTATGTACAAACTTTAGAAGACTTGTGTATAATTATTTTAAATATCAAAAGATTAAAGTAATTAAGTAACAAATCTCGAGAGATTTGCGTATAATTTTTCAAGTAAAAAAAAAGGAGAAGAAGGGGAAGAATAGAAGCAGTTGGCTAGAATTTTGGACTGAACAGAGGGCTATTTCAGCTGTGCCGATGCCAAGTATAATGCAATTAATACCATTGGCCAGTCCCGATTCTGCTTGGGGTTAGGTGGGACGGTGTCGTTGCCCAGAGGAGGAGGAATAACTTCTTGCTCATGATGTTGAGGCTGCTCTGCACGATGGTGGATTAGGACGGGAGGAGATACCGACGAGGGTGTAAATTGAAATACTTGATTTTTGCCGAGAATCGGATTTAAGTCTATGTAACATTACTCAAAAAATATTAATTCATATCTAAATAATTATATTTGAATCAGAATTTGATATATTTATAGACCTATTACAAAGTAACTTGAAGACAAAATGGACAAAATTCTAACCTGTCGGATGTAACCAACAAGTAGCGGCGTCAATTGGATCCTTCAAGTGGATTTGTATTGTGCCGGAGTATCAGTGTTTCAATAAAGGAAGTTATGACTTTTGTTGGAATATTATGGCCCTTCCCCTTTTCATTTGTCTTATGTGCCTGTGAATTTGACGAGAAACGCAATCGACGTTATGGTTGGATCATATTGTTATCAATTAATTTTATTGAGCGCATAAATTCAAATAATTGATCTTTGAAGGTAAAAATTAAAAATTTTATAATATTTCAGGGTACAAACTGTCATTTTCCCTCACAAATTTTAAAAAACCCTAATAAATAAGACCAAAAATTCACATTTTTTAATTATAATTAGGGATGTTAAAGCCAACTAAGCGTGGTGAGATTGACGAACTATTCTTATGTGTAAGCCTTATTGTCATTCTATAAGAATAAAGACTTTTAACTCTATAGTCCTCAATGGATCTGTCTTGCTTGCGTCTGCCTGAGACGAAGCCACAAATACAATAGAGTAGGACCACCACCACGACAGTTTCGCTCTTCTCTGCACTCGAACTCTAAATCAATGGCTTCCTCACCAACTTCCTCGACTCAGTCCACCTCCGATTCCGACAACTCCACCACTCAAACTCCATCACACCCGGTCCTCTTTCTCTACACACACACACACACACACAAAACCCATGTATATACATGTATGTCGTTTTTGTTTTCTGTGTGATGCCTTAGCTCTGGTTTTTTTTTTTTCAGGTTATTGCTAATGAAAATGGCGCTCATGATATGCTCCAGAAAAAGACGGAAGCTGGCGCGATCGACCCATTTAAGTAAGTTCAAAAATTCTTAAGATTTTTGCTGTGCAACTGCTTTTAGTTTTAGGTGAATTACATTTCTTTAGGAAGTTCATATTCTTCTGTAATTCTTTATTGTTTTGTGTCATTGAATTGTTCCATCATACTATAACAACTTAATTAATTGAACTGGAGGGTTACTTTTGGTAGCCTTTGTTTGGATGCTAGAAAGGGAAAGAATATGCAGAAAATTATTTGCCGGGGATGCCATTTCCAAGCATTTTTTTTTACGCAGTTGATCTGTTTCCTGGGTGATGTATGGATTTTCTGTGCCCTAATTGAATTTAAGGGAGAACTAGGGATTATGACTGACGGATAATTTAGGAATGTAGGGCAGGTAAGAAGTACAAAAACCATCAGATGAGCAAGGTGGGGCCCCAGATATTTGTGGAAAAGCAAGTGATGGGCTCAGTTATATACTTAGGTAGATAGAATTATATGAGATCAAGTATGCATATGTCCCAAAGGTGAAAAAAAAAAAAAAAAAAAAGAACTATCTTAGTGATTGGCGGAAATGTTGGAATCTACACAAAATTTGCGCTGATGTGAATGTTGGTATATAACAGCTATATTGGGTGTTCGATGTGGCGGCCAATATTTAGAGGGCTCGTGACATGAATCCCAATGCAAGATATTTGGCACTGACGTGTGCCATGTCAAAATAAAGTGTTTAGTTTCAGCTAGCCTTGGTTAAATTGAATGGAAAGTTGACAATCACAATTGATTACTTATTAAGTTCGTGTACACACAAACAGGTATCTGATGGATCATTTTTTTTACCTGTAAAGGAAATCTGTTGGATCACTGTGGATGGATCAGAGTCATTTACAAAAGGCAAGTGATAAACACAAAACATAATTGTTTAGTACAAAGTTAAAAAGGATGCATATAATCGTTAAGTAGATAAAAACTGTCACAACGGTTTGCAGTGAACTATTGGAACATACATTAAATTATGTTGTCATGGGTGTCTTAATGTAAGGTACATGCCATGCATTCATTGATTCTAACTTTTCTGGAACAGTACATAGTTGTTGCATAGGCTGGGATTTAGGAATCAACTTATCCTATTACTCTGGCTGAAAATAGCAGACCAATGTGATCCTTAACAGTAATTGTGTGATTATCTTAGTTGCTAATCAATAATTCTTCATCTATTCTTCCCATTGTTGCATTTCAAAGTTTCTGTGGAAGATGTTGCATGATAAATGATTTATTCTTTTTAGGGTTGCGATTAGCGATCTAGCTCGTAACTGGAGTAGTTTTTCAACACTGTTTCTTTGATGTGTTTAAGAATTATTGTCTCTTTACAGTTCTGAATCTGTTCGCAGTCATGTAAAAACATATTTAAATTGTCTGTTAACCACTTCACCAATTGGAAATTATGTCTGTTTTCCATTCTAAACATTAAGAAGAATAATAACATGTTTCCTAAGGGTAGTGTAGATTTGAAGGAATGTGATTTTTTATTGTGCTCTGCACTATCCAAAGCACATCAGTGGTATGCAACAATGCTCTGTGATGAAACATTCAGGAATGGTGATAAACATAAACATCAATGTGCCCATTTTACGCAAGCTTAGTTTACCGTTAGCAATTTTGATTGGTGTTGATGGAAATTGAATATCAATGCCGCGTCTTTGTTTTGTAGAATTTTTGGTTTTCTTGCCTAAATGGACTTACTTTTGATATGTCCTAGCTCGATGACTAATAGATTCAATTTTACTTGCCCAAAGGAAAAAAGATCCAATTTTTTTGCTCACTTCTGTACCAAATAAGAGCCCGGATACCCAACTTAAGCAAACAAGTTCTCTCATAGTTCTGATTTTTGAATATATCTGAGCGTCTTCTGGCTAGCATTCTTCCAAAATTTCTGCCTGTATTATTTCATACTCTCGCTGTGGCATTCAAGTGAACTGTGTGCTGCATTTCTATGATCTTGACAGATGTTATACAATCAATCCGGGTTGATGCCATCTTTGTGTCTGTAGGGATATGAACAGCAAGGAGTACATTGGAAAGTTCAAGAAGTATGAAGCTGACTACACTCGTCGATTAAAGGCAAAGTACTTCTCAGATAAGAATATCTATGGAGGTAAACATGTTTTGTACGAGGTGACAAACATGGTCTAATTTTTTTTTGTTAACTGCATAATTTAATAGAATGCAGCTTGCGCTAAGTTTATCAATTACTTTTTTTTTTTTGGGGGGGGGGGGGGGGGGGGGGGAAGGGAGGATTTTGTGAATTATTATTTATGCATTTGTGCTCCAAATAATCTAATAAGCTGGGTTTTGATTCTTTTATAGAATGAATGTTGGCAAATAGTTTTATTGTATCTTTAGTTTTCGCAAAATCATATTTGAATATTCTTGTTCTTTAATGGGATATATGTTGGCAAATGGTTTTTATTCTATTCTGTTTGATAGATAAATTGCCTTCTGATTGTACTCATGTACCTTTAGTGTTCTACACATTGTCTTGATCAGCTGCTGCAATAAACAAACCTTGTCATCCCCCCCAATTCTTTTTTTGGGTTCTAGAGTTTACTATTTTTGTAAATATTTTTACTTTTTTATTATATTCGATATGCTAATGTCATTCACTTTAAGACACATGATATTGAACTCAATGGTATGGGTTCTTTGACCCCTAACCAGGTCTCCTATTGATTTGCACACTCCTGCAAATGTCAGTATGCGTCTAGAGAGACTACTCTGTGTTAAGGTTTCGACAAACCCGTGCATAATTTATGAGGATATGCTAGACATTAAGCCTCATTTTGATGACCACTACAACTCTAATGGAAGTGCTTGTGTAATCAAAGAACAAGGCAGATTTAAATGAATTGGCTAATTGGACGCCCCAGGAATATTGACTTATTGCAATTAATTTATTTTTCTTGTATTCAAAACAAGTTCTGCTGTGTTGTTATGTGTTATTAAACAGATGCTGAGGTGCCCAGATTATGAGGAAATTGATCAGTACATGTTTCTTTTACAAAGAATTGAGCACACAATAATCCCGTGACATGGTATTCTCAAAAATTAATTAGTGTACTTGCCATTCTTGCAGGCAACATTTTCGACGTAAAATTGACTATAGATGGCGAAAACATAAAAGCAAGCAGGTATGTTATCTTACTACGTTGTCTTAATAGAAGGGTCTTAAGTTGCATCAGTAGCTAAGCTATGTTTGGTACCCTTTGCTAGGTGGCCTGGCTATCAATCATATGCAGATCCAGCGAGTTTTTTGGCAGAACAGAGCAGCAATGGGTCAACTAGTGCATCAGAAGCCTCAAACGATTCAAACGGGAAGCACTAAAGTAGAGCAGTTGACAGTTCTCCGTCATATCCACCAATGGTACTGCCTTTATAAAGTTACTAGTGTATTCCAACTTGGAGAGACTATGAACTGAAACTTGTCTATAATATTTTTGTCTGGGGAAAAATATGGGGGTGTGATTCAAGAAGACCTCAAAATGTGGCTTTTCTTAATCTAGTGAGACGGTTTCGCTGATACCAAACGGCTAGAAGAAGCATATAATGAATATTACTTCTTTACCTCTTTGTCCTGCTTGTAGTTGTTATATATTGATGGTTGTTTTCTTAAAAATGGCATGCCTAATCAAGTATCTAACATTTCTTGAGGGTCTGTGTCCACATAACAGTAACGGAGGGTTCTTGTGACGGTTTGATCAAGCCACATTGTGTTTGTATGGTGTGAAGCCGAGTGACTAGGTAGGAGTGATGAAATCTGCAATTTGCTAGGCATTTTCGGGCTATTTTAACTAGTTTTTTTAAGACCTTTGGGACGATATGTTATTTCGCGGGACCTAAATAGCTTGGATTCCATTTCAAGTAATTATGACCACTCAAGGTCGGTTTATATGCATAAGGAGTTTCTTTTTATTTTTGTCAGTTGATTTCGAATTGAATACATTGTATCATAACTGGATCTTAGATGGTTAATGAAACAAATTTCTTACCAATTTGAATTTCTTGTTATGCATGTTTGTCCGTTTGTTTGTTAGCTTTACACGGGAGTTGAGCCCGAGTTTCGCATAACAAACGGTGAAAAGAGAGTTTGTATTCTACATTGGATGATTAAAACTACTTGAAGTTAGTTTATGAGTAATACTAATTGGATCTAAAAATTTGACATAATTTGCTGGCATAATAATGCGGCTTCAGTAGAATCATTGAATAAACACCTATTTTCAATGTTTGATAGGCCCTACAGTTAATCTAAAGATCATAGTGAATTAGGTCAACAAATTAGGTTAGTAAATTAGGTCTCAATAGCAATACTCGTTAGTTTATAGGCTTAAAGAATTTTTTCATCCATTGACAATTAAATTAACTGCTAATTTATGAAAGCCACAACACGTATGCTTTAGGTTGCATGAATTTTTGTAGAATTAAATGGTTTTAAATCTGGTTTTGCCATGATTGAACATGACACAATTCGAACATGATATGACATGATTCAATAAACATCTCTGCTAAAAATCCAATATTTTTCGCAGAGGTCCCCATTCTTGGAAGGCGTAATTCAGTATGTTCAAAGAGGGAAGCAACAAACAATGTTAATAATGATGTAGCCATGTAACAGCATCGAGTAAACAAAGGATTGTTCCAATCATTTTGAAGGAAAGGATGGAAAAAGAACTAGTCCTACAACATAACCATCTGGTGTGCCCTGATGCCCTGACCTACATCCTCTTTAATAGTTCTTGAACATAATCAACATTCTAGTGCTACACCAAAACTACATCCATACAAATCAAAGTAACTCTAGTTTTAGTGTTCATCAATATGAACCAGATTTCGTCATTACCTTGTGCCGGAAATCATTTAGCTGAATTAACAATCAACAGACTTTTCCTCAACATTGACTGCATTTGTGAATGCGAAATCCGAGTACAAAGTTAAAATATACCAGATTCTTGGCTTCCTCTATTCATGCCAAGGCTTCCAGCTTATGTCCCGTTGTTTCTTCTCACTGTTAAGAGGTGTTGCTCATCGTTGGGCATCATTACTTGATCTCATCAATTTTCACTATCCTTGTCATCAGAGAACCCAGCTATGAGCTATCTACATGACAAAAATAATTTCATAGAGTAGAAAGAAAGGATTTGAATAGCTAGTAAACATGTTGAATTTTCATAGAAACAATACCAACTATTCTGTGCATTTTGAAAAATAACGCCTCAAAAGAATTGTTATCCATTATCGAAGGGGCATATCCAAGCCTATGAGGATGGCAAACATACTTTTGTGAGCGGGGGGAGGGGGGAACTTCTATGAGTCAGTATATGTTAATGGGTTAATTACAAAATGTCCCATCCAAGTTTGGGTCATGTTACAATCAATTCCTTTAGGTTTTAAATTCGACAATTTGTCCCCTCCAAATTTGAATAATTTTTAATTAACTCTTACCATTAATTGACCACCGTTAAAAATGACAGAAGTTTATTAAAAGCACAGAATTACCCCCATCTTAATATTTTATGTAAAAATAAAAATAAAACCTCCCACCCCCTTTAGTGAATCCACCTCCCTCCCCCTCCGGTGAACCCACCTCCCTAGTCAAACCAAAACCCATCTCCTCCCCCTCCGGTGAACCCACCTCTCTACCCCTATGATGAAACCGAAACCCACCCCCACACAAACAATCCACCTCCTCCTCCCTTCGATGAACCAACCTCCCATCCCTTCCAGTGAACNTAAGATGATATGGAAGGCTAAGAAATATCTCTACAACTTTTAGGCTTTGCATTTTGAGAGATATTGACTGCATCAAGTCGAAATCACGCTTAAAGTTGCAGCAAGTGCACTGTTCTTGTGCACTGTTCACGTCCTGTTTCATCCCTTTTCCATTTTCAATCCATTTCTAAGCCAACCAAATCCATCCCAAACCTCTCCAACACATATTTCTACACCAAACCTATTTAATACAAGTTTTAGGACCTAAAATTTCATATTTTTACTTATTAAAACCAAATTTCAACTCTTATTTCCACTAACATTTTAAATCTCTATTTTTCCAATCTACCAAATTCAAACACACATNAACCACCTTCCTCCCCCTCTAATGAATCCACTCACTTCCCCACCAGTGAAACCGAAACCCACCACCACCCAAACAATCCACCTCCGGTGAACCCACCTCCCCATTGAAACCGAAACCCGCCTCCCTTCCCCTCCATTGAACCCACCTCCCTCCCTTTCCAATGAAATCAAAACCCACCCGCACCCAAACAGTTGATATCCCTCCAGTGAAGCCAAAACATCCATACACCGAAACACTGGTAAAACCGAACATCCATACACCCTACCCCTCAAACAACTACCATCCCCTCCTTCCTCCCGTGAAACTGAAACCCACCCCTAGTAATAGTCCCCCAAACAACCCCAACTCCATAAGAAATCTACTCTCCATTGGGCAACACCCAATTGGGGGGGGGGGGGGGGGGGGGGGG